TTTTTTTTTTTTGGTACAAAGAAGAGAGGCAAATGCCTAGATGCTATATATTAGAACTTTTCGTGGGTGTGCGACCCCGAGAACATCATGATGTAGCCATTGTCGAGCTTCCCCCGGCGGCTCATCTAACAGCTGGAAACCTGTTGGGCTTCGTGCGGCAACTTTGGCCAGGCAGTCGGCCACAAAATTTGCTTCACGGTATTCGTGAACCATCTTCACCTCCCATGGTCTCGTCAATAATTCTCTTATGGACCTTATCAGTAAGCTATGGGTCCCATGTTCCTCACGGCCACTTTGTATCATTGTAAACGCACATAGGCTATCTATCTCCGCTATCACCCGTCGATGTCCCAACTTCCATGCAACAGTAAGACCTTGGAAGATCCCCCAAAGTTCCGCTCCCGTGATTGAGCAAAAACCTATGTTCATGATGAAGCCCTTAATCCATTGGCCACAAAAATCACGTACCACGCCACCTGCACTAGCCATGCCCGACGTTGGGTTAAATGACCCATCCGAGTTCACTTTGATCCACCCCTCGGGTGGAGGGGTCCATCGAACATATACCCGTTCTCTACCGACTCCAAGCCCCCCCAGCTTTCGTTCACCCAGCACCGCTACGAAAACGTTTCCCCTCCAAATCTCAACTTCACGTAATAATCTGGCCGCGCAAGATGGTTCGTCCTGGAAGATACGTCGATTACGAGCAAGCTAAAGTCTCCACAATGTTAGTCCGAAAGTCAACTCCCAGTCGTTCACCTCAAAATGGCACGCGTTCGTCAAATGGGCGATCAACCATTCCTCCAAATCCATCGAACAAAAGTCCGCCCACTTGTCCCTTGGGATTAGACTTCTCCATACTGAGGAGGCAGCCGGGCAATCTCTCAAAATGTGGAACAGGGTTTCAGCCTCGGTGCTGCATATATCGCACCTATTATCATTTGACAAATGCCGCCGGAATCTTTCGACATTCGTGAGCAGCCTCGTCTTCCCGACCAGCCACAAAAAATTACGTACTCGTTGCGGGCCGTTCCAAGTCCAAATAATTTTCCATAGACGACCTCGACTGGAATTTCCCGGCCTGAGTAGGCTCTCATAGGCTGATTTTGTAGTAAATTTGCCATCTTGGGAATAGGCCCAATACACTGTGTCCTCGCCAGCGTGCACCTGTGGTGGTAGGATGGCGGCCACGCGCAGACGAGCTTTGGCTGGTATCAGATGCAAAAAGAGATCCCATTTCCATTGTCCCTTCTCGTCGACAAACTCAGCCACTGTAGCATATAACATTTCCTCTGGTACTGGAGCTGTCGCAATGCTAATTAATGTTTCCGGACAGTTTAGCCAACGATCCCACCAGAACAACACTTTTCGGCCATCTCCTAGGGACCATCTCACCCCACAGTACACCTTCCGCCACACCCTACTCATTGACTGAAGGATGACTGACCCTCGTTTAAACTCGAAATTTTCTGTCATCCCGATTGGGTTTAGATTGTACTTCGCCTTCAGGATTTTAACCCACAGCGCATCTCTGTTCGTCAAGAAGTTCCATCCCAACTTCATTAAAAGTGCCTCGTTCATCAATCTTTGGTTCCTCAAGCCCAGTCCCCCACTGTATTTTGGTTGACATAGAGAGTTCCAATCGACTAGGCTTACCTTACGTGTCGATTCGTTGCCTCCCCATACAAATCTTCGACATTTCTTTTCCAGTTCGTCACAAACAAAGTAAGGTAGAGAAATCGTTTGCATGGTATAGAAGGGCAAACAACTTACTACCGATTGGACTAGCGTCACTCGTCCAGCCATAGATAACGATTCTGCTTTCCAACCCGCTAGACGTCCTTCCGCTTTATCTAGAATTCTCCCGAAAGTTTGTTTATTAATCTTGCCATGAATAAGAGGGACTCCTAGATATCTGCCCAAGTCTGAAACCTCCGAGAAGTCTAGCATTCTACTAATTTTCTCCCTTCTTTCCGCCGCGACATTGTTCGAGAAAAATATCTTCGTCTTCGAATCACTGACTTTTAGCCCGGATGTGTGACAGAAATTTTCCAACACTCCCTTTACCACATTTGCCTGGTCCTCTGTCGCTTCCGAAAACAAAAGTAAATCGTCTGCAAACATTGGAAAAGGCACTTGTACAGCTCCTTTGCCAACTGATATTGGCCGCCACCGACCCCTTCCGGTTTCTAATTGAATTAGATGCGCCAGTCTCTCCATACATAGCACAAACAAATACGGGGACATTGGATCTCCCTGGCGTATTCCCCTTGACGGCCGAAATATGTCACTAGCGTCTCCATTGAGCTGAACCCGCATCGAGGCCGAAGAAAGACACGTCAATACTCCCCGTATAATATTCTCAGTAACGCCTGCCAGTTGTAGGGTATTGACCACAAAGTCCCACCTTAAGAAGTCGTACGCTTTCTCTAGGTCGACCTTCACCACCATAAATCCCGTCTTACCTTTCTTCCCGCGCATAGTGTGAATCAACTCCTGGGCCACCACAATATTATCTGAGATCAGGCGTCCCGGTATGAAGCTTGACTGTGCTGGTCCTATCATAGCAGATAGCAGAGGCTTAAGCCGATTAGCCAAGACTTTAGTTGTCAGCTTGTATATGACATTCAACAGGCTAATTGGGCGGAACTCTTTTATCTCCTGGGGATTGTCCACCTTCGGGACGAGTACGAGCAAGGTTTCATTAATCCCTTCCGGCATAACACCCTCATGTAATATTCGGCGGACTATGTCGCACACTGATGTGCCCACTCTCTGCCATTGCTTCTGGAAAAAAATAGCGTGTAATCCGTCCACACCCGGGGCCTTCAATGGTGGCATCTCGTTAAGGGCTCGAAAAATTTCGCCATCTGAAATTGGCCTTCTCAACAGGTCTTGTTTCGCGGCCACCATCGGAGGAAAGAAATTCGGCCATAGAAAGTCTGGCCTTTGTGGGGCTTCTACCGTGTAAATACTCCGAAAATAGTTAACTGCAATCAGTTGGAGTGCAGGCGGATCTTCCACGACCATTCCATTCTCGTCTCGAAGTGAGTGAATACGTTTTCTCCTCCTTTGCGTTTTAATTCTCCGGTGAAAATACGCGGTATTGCGGTCGCCAAATAAAGTCCAATCACGTTGGGTTTTTTGTATGAGCAGGACTTCCTCTTGAACCATAACTTCCTCTAGTTCTCGTCGCAATTCCACCTCCAGCCTCTTAAGTTTGGAGGAATGGTAGTTTTGTAAGCATCTTTGTATACCTGCTAGTCTAGCTAGCAGCTTTTTCTTACGTTTGAAGATATTCCCAAATACGTTGGCATTCCATATCTTAACATTGTTGGTAAAGTCGTTCACCGCTTCCATGAAAGGCTTCCCTTCTGTCCACACTTGCTTCAAGAAATCATCAAATTTATCATGCAACAACCACGAGGCAAGAAACCGAAAAGGTTTTTGTTGCTGCTTCTTTTCCTTCCCTTGCTCTACACACATAAGGAGGGGGAGATGATCAGACTCCATGCGAGCAAGGTGATGAACAATGCAATTGGGGTATTTATCCATCCATTGCTGATTGCTAACAAAGCGATCCAGCTTCTCAGAAAGATCGCCCCTAAACCATGTAAATTTGGTTCCGTCTGTTGGGACTTCCTCCAAGCTATTATCAAACATCCAATCTGCCATCCCTGACCGTGTATGGTGGTTCCTAGAAGAGCCTCCCTGCTTCTCCGTAGATCGCAATAGGCTGTTAAAATCGCCCCCAAGTAACCACGGTTCGTGTACGTCTAGGATGTTAGTGTTCAACTCCCGCCATAGAGCCCGACGGCCCTCCACATTGGGGCACGCATAGACAAATGTCATGAGGAAATAGTCTTTATCCATTCGTAAATGCGCATGAACAAATTGTTGATGACACCTTTGTATTGTGACCTCCACCCGATCCTGCCATAAAATCCATATGCCTCCTTTAAATCCTTCTGCTTCCACCCGAAACGATCGATCAAAACCGCTACGTTGGATGAAATTGTCCGCCTCTTTACCACTTATTCTTGGTTCCAACAACGCCACCACATCAGGCCTGTATCCCTTAGTAATAGTAGAGAAGGCCCGCTCAAAGCTCTTTGAGCCCGCTCCTTGAACATTCCATGTCATTACTATCATAAATAAACTGTTAAAATAAAGACAAAACCATCTTCACCAACCCGGGGCTAAGGACCCTTTTCAACCTCCTCTTCCATATTGCACGACGAGCCCCCATCAGCTTGGACATCTGATAAAGAAAGATCCTTGTGATGCGAGGTCGGTGAATCAATCATTGTCATGTCCTCCTTTTGGTTCTCGAAGAAAGCTTCAGGGCCTGATACATTATTATCGTTGAATATGGGGTTGTCTAATACGTGAACCGCACTATGTTTCGACGAGTCCAGGCTGGACGCCGCCTTAAATACAATTTGACCTTGAGAACTAAGAAGTTCAAGAGATTCCTCAGTGGCCGCGAGCCTGGATCTACTGGTTAATTCCCCGCCTCTTCCTTCTTGTCCCTTCTTCTGCACTACTTGTACCTGCTGTTCATCCGTTCCTATAGGTGTATTAGACTGAGCCCCCTCGCCATTACTTACAAGATTCACGTTCAGTTGCCCCTTCCCTTTATTTTTCATGGCCCGCCATTCCTCCTTGGTCCTCGCTATTCCTTTGCCTTTATCCTGTTTCGGAGGGATATAAATAGCCTCGTGTTCATTGCTCTCCAACTGGGTCTCCTCGCTTCCCTGGCCCTCCTTATCAGTCATCCCATTAAAAGCTTCAAATCGGGAACCGCTTGTACCGTTATTGGGTTTCGTCTTTGGACGTGGGTCCGACGCCAGCCTAGTAGCGGTTCCTTGCTTTCTTTCCTTTGTTTTTGCTACCATCCACTCCCCTTTGTCCACCTGCGCCACCTCTTTTTTTTTTCGATTCCCGGTAGAGGGTCTGTCAGTGCCTTCACTTCCTTCTCCTCTGTTCTGCTCTGCCGGATTTGCTACTGGGGTTCTAGTAGGGCAAGTAAAACTCTGGTGTCCGTATAGGCCACAAGAGAAACATATTTCGGGCAGATTCTCGTACTCTATGGTTTGCGGTCTGTCCATAATCTGGAATTTAGTCACCAATGGTTTAGTAAGGTCCAGTTGGACTGCGAGTCTCGCGAACTTACCCCGTGTTTGATTTGCCGTCTGGTGGTCTATTTTTAGCACTTTACCAATGATGTCCCCCATCCTCTTGAAAACTTTCTTGTGGTACATGTACGGAGGCATCCCTGGTAATCGAACCCACGCAACTATTGATGTCACCCTATCCACATTCTCATTAAATTCCGGGCTCCAAGGTTGGATGTGAATGTATGTTCTGTTCACCACCCATGGTCCTCCCACAAGGGCCTTAATTGCATCTTCATTTGTATGGAAACGAACTGAGAAATATCCGTTCTCATGATCTATCATTGAGCATCCTTGAATCCATGGCCAGACTTGCAATAACCTGTTATACAGAGTTCTCATCCCCAGGGGTCGGCGTGCCCCCATTTGTTTGATAACGACCACATTACGCCATGAATTTACACAGGCAGCATAAAAAGAGTCTTTAAGTTTTAGGTTTGGCCCTTCAGGACCATAATCAATGGTTACATCATCGTCCCCGCCGACCGCTTCATCTTCTCCGTCCGATAGCTCCAAATGGGGCCGGTCTTCCTTCATCAGATCGCGCCAGGACATCTTCGGTGGTGAGCTTTTACCCTCATCCATCTCCGTGTTCATTTGTTGTGCCTGATTTAGGTCCGATTGGGAGGATTCCTCTTCAGCAACCAGAGATCGCCGTCGCTTCGAGTATCTTCCATTCACTCCCAATCGAATCGCGTCGTTGAGCAGAGGGAATTCTACCTTATTCCGGTCAGGGGGGTCGGCTTTAGGGTTAAGATTCTGGTCCGTCATTTTCCGGTTAGGGCTTAGGTTCTGGTTGGGGCTTAGATTCTGGTTCGTCATTTTTTTTTATTGTTATTTCATGACGACGATGTGCTTTTAAGCGTTTTAGCTGTCTTGCTACGTAAGGGACTAAAACTAAATCCCGTGACAATTTTTGGCGAATCTCTTCAAACGGTACCTCCTACTTTGAGATATTCTTATCAAATGTTTAAAGAGACTCGGTGCAAGATCAGACAATCGATACCGATCAATCCCTGAAGCAATCACTGTTCTAAAAATCGGCCTAGGCGGCCGCCTAGGCAGCGTCTAGGCGCTAGGCGGTGCCCGGGCTCCTCCGATTTGTAAATCGGCAGAAAAAATCGGTCAGGCGGCTAGGCGGCGCCTAGGCGGGCCTAGGCGGGCTCGGCGGCCAGGCGGTTAGGCGGCGTCTAGGCGGGCGTAGGCGGACCTAGGCGCTCCTAGGCGGGCTCGACGGCAATTTTTCAATTTTTTTTTTAATTTCTTTTTTATTTTTTTAAATACTAATTACATTATTTTGTTCTCATGTTTTCTTTAATATATATTAATATTATTATTTGGACTTTGGTGTGTAAATTTATTATATGTTGAGATAATATTATTTTGTAGGTAGTTAAAATAAATAAAAAATAAGGTATTTACTATTGATTTCTGGGCCCCGACTAGGCGCCGCCTAGGCCCCGACTAGGCGCCACCTAGGCCCCGACTAGGCGCTCTAGGCGCTAGGCACTGATCGAGCGCCTAGCGGGCGCCTAGCGACTTTTAGAACACTGGAAGCAATCGAGTAGTTGCTTTGATGTCGATCACAAGCATACTCATATGACGTTAAGATACTTGAAGTTGACGTATTATCCGCTTTGTTTCTAGTACAAGTGGCAATCAAATAAGAACACGTCCATCGAGCATCGTCCACCTCCCAACAGACTCCTTAGACGATAAATAACTCTCCGAACAAAAATGGAGTTTCTCTTACTTTTCACTCATAAATGGTGAAACGTCAAAAGAGGCCAAACCGTTTGAGTAATAATCTCACGGTGGAACACCGATCATGGCTAAGTCTTTCGAGATCGACAAACAAACACTCACAGTCATGGTGAAACGCCGAATGTGGCCAAGTCGTTCGAGGATAAACAAAATATCTAGGTGAAATGCCGAACGAGGCCAAAGCGTTCAAAATTCAAACTCACTATGAAATGTCGAACATGGCCAAGCCACGAGTACAAATAAATCACTCACGCTGAAATGTCGAACGAGGCCAAGCCATTCAAGTTTAAACAAAAAATTTACGGTGAAACGCCTGGAAACTTGGGGGACCTCCTTATTATACATAAAACTTATACATTTTGTGCCGACCCACTAAGCCTTGAAGTGCTTCGACCACGATGAAAATTAAGCCTGCCTATAAATGGGCCTAAAATTGTAAAAAAAAAAAAAAATCCCAAGAAGCCATACTTCCAAAGCTGCACAGATCCACATTATAAACCTCTATGTCGATCAATCCTGTTAATCCCTTATGAGGATTGCCGATCTCTCTACAGTAACAAAATTGACAAAACAAACTGTTAAAGTGACCACCCATATGTTTCCATCACCAAAAGAGGATTTTGCATGGGGACGCGTGTCATCTTATACCCTTAACTGACTCATAGTCATCATTATTTGCCTACTTTTTCAATGTATAAATTGAAACCTTGAGGTTCATAACGATATATGAAAAAATGAGAAGAAAAATCCCTCAATATAATACTCTCGTTGCTTATTTTATTACACCGATCTCTTATCCATGATCAACGATGTCTTTAATCCTAGTTTATAACTCATAAAACACGTTGTCTCCCCCTAAACATTGAATAACAATTGTCTATAACTTACCTAATTACGCTATTAACCCAACCCATTATTGTGGTTGGAGTAGACCGTAAACATAACATATTTAAAAATTTGTTATCATATTTACGAGACTACAAAAAGTAAAAAAAATGCTCTTTTTTTATCGTCAATTACATCTTCCTGCAGTCGGTGGACTAACCACAAGCTAACTGGGTTTAAAGAAATAGTAAACCCTGTAAAATTGCATAATAATTGATATTCCTATTGCTATAATAATAATAATAATAATAATATTTTTTTTTTTCGAAACGATAGAGGTATTATATAAAAGGGCACAAATGTGCAAAGGTACAACCACCAGCTGAATACAAACAACTAACAGATGAATACAGACAACCAACAGCTGAGTAAAATGGGATGACAGGTCACAAACCTCCTAGAACCGACCCCAACGGGGTAATACTTTAGAAACACAACAAACACAACCAACATTAAAAGCTCCCAAAGGTAGAACAACAAATAAATAAAAAAAGAAAACGAAAAGGCCCCAACAAGGTAATGTCTGAGTGTGGGATCCCAACATGATAAGAAGGTCACACTCGAGTTCATAGGGGCCAACGACCCCCTTAAATTTACAAGTTACGTTATACAGTATACTTCATATAATCTCTGTAGTGATTCATACATAAGTAAAATAATTTATATTTATATTATTTATTTTAATAAAGATCAAATTTGTAATATGTGATGCATAATATATTAGTTATAATTCTAAATATAACATCCATAAATGTGACTTATATATAATATTATATTTGTATATTTAATAAAAAATACATGTTATTTTTTTTAAATTTTAATTTAAAACTCTTATTAACTAAATTAAAGGAAATAAATAAAATAATAAAATAAATAGTATATTCTTAATAAATAAATAAAATAACAGCAAATTCCTTTTAAATGCCCAATCCTACTTTCACTTTCCTTTTCAATCCCTATACAAAATTTTCTTCCTTTCCACTCCCTAAAGACAAAAGAATTGGTCCCCTAAAGAGGCAAAAATACAATTCTACCCTTATACCAATTTTATAAATGCAATTTGTCTTGATACCACTCTTTTAAAGAAAAAAGTACCAGTTTTATTCATAACGGTACCAGCTCACTTAAAAGCATTTAAAAATCCCCAAAAATTGGGAAAATGAGCAAAATAAATAACACTTCCCTTTGGGAAAATATTAGATGAGAAAATCTCACAAATTGAACCTTTAACGAAGAATTTAGGTAAAATAATTTTACTTGTAAATCAAATTGGAAAAGAATTAAGAATAAATGACTAAAAATCCTGAAATAGGAAATGTACAACAGATACTATTGGTAGTACAAGAAATACTTACCATAATAAAAGATGTATCCGATAGGATAAATGCAAAAACAGATGATACATACCTATTTAAAGGAAGCAATCTAGAAAAAAGAATTGATAAATTAGAATCAATTCTGGAACAAATAAAAGGAAACTATATTCCTGCTGAAGAAACATCTCAAAAATCAAAGACTGAATATAAACTCCCTGTTTCAAGAAATATGTCAGATTTCTTTGAAAAATTCAAACAGATTGAAAAGAAAAAAGAGGATGAGTGAATCATCTTCAAGTAAATCTTTCGGGAAATATAAAATACAAGTTGGTAAAATATCTCGTATAAAAACAAGTTTCTCAAAAACAAGGAAAATGAAAGAATTTCTGGAAGAATGTCGGAAACAATTAAACCAGAAATTTAATGTTTCAGAACGAAGAAGTATTATTAAAAATAATTTTACTAGAATGATAGATACTCTTAATAAAGAGTTAAGAAGGCATCCAGAGAATAAAGAACCTCACGAGGAAATCTTAGAAAAGCTAGAAACGATTAATCAAAGATTAACGGCTCTAGAAAATAAATCTCCAACAATATCTTTCGAAGATTTTATAAATGGAGACTAGTACTGAAGATAGTTTATCTTCGGGAGAAATGAAATCTGTAATAGATAAATATCAAAAGATTTTGTCTATATCAGAATACATCGGTAATTACAGTAATTCATCTGAAACTTCAGAATCTGAAGTAAAAGATAGAATGAATGTAAAAATCGAGGAAGATTTAAAAGACTTGGAATCTGATGAAGGTCCAAGAAAATATCAGGATACTCATGAATTCATGAGTCCTAAAGAAGAACAGAATGATGAGTTTTACAATCCAAACGCCGATATGTTTTTCGGAGTTTCGGATAATGAAAGCATAAATGAATTCCCTGAATTAAATATTCCTGGAATCATTAACATGCAAAGAAAACGTCCTTCTTACAAAAGAAAAACGAAAAGGAAAGTATACTCTAAGGAATATGTCCCAAAAGAACACCGAAGAGAATACAAGGATAATATACTAAATCTGGATTGTTTATTCAAACCAGAAGAAGAAATTAAAGAATGGATTAATTACACTCTCGTAGTTGTCCAAACAAACAGAGAAGCATTCAATGCTTTAGAAAGTTTAAAGGCTTATTTGGCATTACATATGACAGGAAACGCCAAAAATTGGTGGGAAAATTCTCCATATGTAAGTGAACTTGATAAACTCTGGGATTCTCCTAGTGACAATGTAATGTACTTAGATTCATTAAGTAAATTACTAGTAAATGAATTCGTAGGAATAAGAGCCCTAGATAATGGAATATCTGTCTTGCAAGAAAAACAAAATAAAGCTAAGTTTATCTTAGATAATATTCAAATCTGCGACATTTGCTATTGGAAAAATTTTACTTGTGAATACGAAAAATGGTATCACATGTTAAATTATAAAGACCAAGCAATGTATGCTGAAAAATATTTCAATAAGTTACCACCAATGTGGGCAATTGAAATGAACAATAAATGGCTTAAAAAACCAAGTCATATAACAGATGGTTTTGCAGGTAGAATTGCTCTACTAAAAGAAACCATTGAAGAAAAATGCAAAGAAATACAATTAAGAAATACAATTTCAGTATTTCAGAATAAACCATGCTGTGATCAACAGTTATTAGATATACCGGGTAAATGGGGTTGTAAACTACCTTACAAAAACGGTAAAAAGAAATATCATAAATCTAAACGAAGGTATAAAAGGTTTAAACCAAAATATAGAAAGTTTAGGAAAAATGATAAAATACCTAGACCTAGTTTTAATAGGTACAGGAAACATAAACAACAGAAAAAGGATAATAAATTTTGTCCTAAAGGAAAAACTAATTGCAGATGTTGGTTATGTCAAGAAGAAGGTCACTATGCTAATGAGTGTCCTAAGAAAAAAGAAAATGGAGATAAAGTTAAAATGCTTTATTCTATAAGGAAATACAATTTCGAACCAATAGAATCAGAAAATGATTCTAGTCAGTCCGAATACGAAATAATGTTTGAAGAAGAAGTTCAATACTTCACTTCAGCACCAAATTCTGAATGGGAATTATGTTTAAGCGACTCCGAATGGAAGAACTTAAAAATATAACAAACCCAAACAGTACATATATTAAAGTTGGATTCAAATTTCCAAACTATAAACAATATCACCTACACGGCTATATTGATACCGGAGCAAGTATTTGCACGGCAAATGAATTAGTGTTACCTAAAGAAAAATGGGAAAACGCAAAGCAAAAGGTTACTGCACGCATAGCAAATAATGCAGTTATAACCCTAACAAAAGTAGCCAATAATGTGATATTCTATATCGCTGGTGAACAATTCATAGTTCCAACTATATATCAACAAGATTCAGGTGTTGATTTATTAATTGGAAACAATTTCTTAAGGTTATACAGTCCATTTGTACAAGATTTAAATTATGTACTACTTCATCTAAATGGAGAAGCAGTATATATTACAACGGTTAAAAAAGCTTACAGTTTTGCAACTAAAAACTTTATGGATAATAACGCAAAACTACGGAATCGTGGTGATATTGTTAAAGAAACTCCTAAGAAAAACATCGCATTTAATGAAGAAACACAAGATTATGAAAAAGTTTTCTTTCAAATAATGCAGTGTAAACAAATAGTAAACCATTTGGTTGAAAAACATGAAATACTTTTTAAACTATCTTTACAAGATTGTCAGAATGCATTAAAGAAAATAACGAGTGAAAACCCGTTAGATAAAATACTCAATAAAAGTTTGAATAATGTAGCATTACATGCAGAGATAAAACTCATTGACCCCTTAAAGGTTATTCGAGTAAAACCAATGTGCTATACTCCTCGAGATCGAGAAGAGTTTAGTATTCAAATTAAAGAATTACTGGATTTAAATTTAATTCGACCCAGTTTATCTCCACATAGTAGTCCCGCATTTCTGGTTGAAAATGAATCAGAAAAACGGAGAAATAAAAGACGTATGGTCATTAACTATAAAAAGTTAAATGATGCTACTGAAATGGATGGTTATTACCTTCCTAAAAAGGAAGAACTATTTCACCTAATTAGGAATATGAAATGGTTCAGTACATTCGACTGTAAAAGTGGATTCTGGCAAATCCCTTTAAAAGAAGAATGTAGAAAACTAACAGCATTCAGTTGTCCCAATGGACATTTTGAATGGAATGTAGTCCCATTTGGACTTAAACAAGCCCCTGGATTATTCCAACGGCGCATTGATAATGCTTTGGGTTTAAAAGACCCAAGTAAGACATTTAGAAATATATGCACAGTTTATGTGGATGATATTATCGTTTTCAGTAAAACTGAGCAAGAACATTATGTACATGTTATACAAGTACTAGAACAATGCCTCAAAGAAGGAATTATTCTTTCTGAGAAAAAGGCCAAAATAGCCCAAACCAAGATTAATTTCTTAGGATTGGAGATTGAAAATGGAAGTCTTAATATGCAACCGCATATAATGACTAAAATATCTGAGTTTCCATCAGAAATAAAGGATAAAAAACAATTACAAAGATTTTTAGGAATTCTGAATTATGTAGAAGGATATGTGAATAATCTTGCTGAAATAAGAAAACCTCTACAGAAAAAGTTAAAAAAGAATATAGAATTTAAGTGGAGTCCGAATGACACACAGTATGTTGAAAAGATAAAGAGAAAACTCAAAATCTTGCCAACACTCTATCATCCTAAAGATGAAGATCTTATGATCCTAGAAACTGACGCCAGCAATACTTATTGGAGTGCAGTTTTAAAAGCAAAACCTTTGGATTCATCTGAAGAAAAACTGTGTAGATATACATCTGGTACTTTCAAAAGTTCAGAAGTTAATTATCACAGTAATGAAAAAGAATGGCTTGCAGTCATTCGAAGAATTCAAAAGTTTAAGATTTATCTTATTCAAAAGGAGTTTTTAATAAGGACTGATAATAAGAATTTCAGTTACTTTGTTAAAAATGAATTTAAAGGTGATTATAAACAAGGTAGACTTATTAGGTGGCAACACTTCTTAAGATATTACCAGTTCAAAGTCGAACATATTAAGGGAACTAAAAACTGTCTTGCAGACTGTTTAACATGTGAATTTGCAGGTACAGGAACAAATTGAACCAGTACCAACGCAGAACAAAAAACGTTCAAGAATGGATTTACAAATCGAAGAACTCGAATTGGAAATTCTCCAGAAACAACACGAACTTGAAATCCTCCAAAAGAAACTCAAGATCGTGAAACTAAAAACAGAATCTGAGAAATTTGTTCAAAAGCCCCAACAATCGGAGCCAAGTACACAGTACAAAGATGTTCTGGTAAAACCCGAATTTTTGGGTAAAATTGAAGCAGAAATTGAAAGGTTTTCTGAAAATGAACGAGCCAAAAATTGGTTTGTAGTCCATACAGGACCAAAAATTGGTATTCACCATGATTACCAAAAGGTCAAAGACCTACCAGATTCCTATTACCATATAGCAAAATCTGAATTTGAAGCTCAAAGAATCCTTGAAAATATTAAAGGAAAATTTAAAGAAAGAACAACCCTTTTTCATAAAATGGGAATCTTTTCTGGAAATCAAATATTAAACAAGATTAACGGTGAGTTCAATAAATTTGAAATAAATAGTTCTTTAATTAAAACTACTGTTTCAAAAGACGAATGGTTCACACTCTTCGAAGAAATAAACGCCAGCACTTTGGAACAAGGGTTAGTCCCTATTTTGAAAAATGGCCAATTAAAAACAATTCTGTATCCTGGAATAGGCGCAGAAAAATTTCGAGACATGTTTCTCGGAGGATATGTGGATTTGCTATACCCTGACAATAGATTGTTGGAATTATCTTACTTTCCCAAAGTTAAACAGGCTACGAGTCTTTACTTAGAAAAGTGCAGAATTGTACAGAACAAGAAGAACATATTCTTCAAAATCTACAGTACTATTCCGGATTGGGAAGGCGAAAAACAATTTCCCGGATATCATTTCATCCAAATGGGAATCTGTGGGGAAGTACGCCCTCCGAATGTACTAATTCAAGAGTTAAAAGCCCCTGATGAAGATGGCCTAAAACTCGAAAGGAGTGATTCATTTTACTCCATGATCAATGCATTGGGAAAAATCAATTCCAGCAGCAAAATGAAAGTGAACTTCTGTAATGATGAAATATTGTTAATTAGTGGTTTCACTAAAAAGATAGATAAACGAGACTTGGCAATCATCAAAAATTGGCATGAAGGACTCGTTTCCAAAACTAGATGCACAGAACAGACCCGTCTCATGTTAGACGCAGTCAAGGCTACGATTGAGGAAGAAAGGAAGAGAACCCAAAAGAAACAGCTGGAATCCAATGGTGAAAAGCAGCAAGGACCCAGCCAAAAAGAAAAAGAGACCCATGACCAAACGCACTTAGTGGCACCAATGGACACAGAAGCTTTGGACCCCGCAAATGTGATAAGCTGAGTCAGAACTAGCAGAGGAATCTTAGCTCCTCTCCACAATGCTGTAACATCTGTCCCGCATTATCAAAAAACGACATGTGACGTTTGTAATAAATGGAGAGCTGACTCCTTTAACAGCTGCATGTTTAATTATTATACGCATCTTTCTTTATGTGTGGGCCTACGAGCCAATAATATCTCTTAGTTGTTAAGTTTCCAGAGAGATCGATTACTCCTATATAAGGACGACCCTCAGACTATGTTGAGGCATCGAAAAATCCTTTATTGGAAAAACTCTCTATCTCTCTAAAACATTGTGATCTTTTAAAACTTTTTGAAATAAAATTTCCTTTATGGAAGAAAGTTTGTTCTTTTACTAAAAGAAAAAAGAGAACCTGGAAGGTTCCATTAGAACGTTAAAATTCTAAAAACAAATCCAGTTAGGGTCAAAAAGAAATCCAAGGCACCAAGCCTGTATTAATCTCTGGAGTTCCTGGAGGCACAAGCTCGTCGGAATAAGTCCCGTGTTGTGGCAGTAAGTCGACTGGAAGCATTGCTTGGAATTGAGATAAAAATGCAGAAGTGGAAGTTGGCCGTGATGGACCCATCTACAAATCAAACTGGAAGGAAAGGGTATTGATGCCCAGGACCAGATAAACGTCAGAAGACGACAGGTATAAAATCCTACTCATTAAAAATAAAAATGGAAGAAATTGTTGAACAATTTAAAGAATTAGGCAAAGGTCCTATTAGATTGAGTGTTATTTCAAAAGTTGAATATATTGAAACACTGCTTCTGAAGAAGATAAAAGAAGAAGCAATCTTGAAATTAGAAGAACTATTAATTGGTAATTCTAGTATTGAAGAACAAATTAGGATATATGAAAACCATGACTGTACAAATGGTGACATGTTTCCTAGAATTAAAAAAGAAAATGAAAGGCTTCGAGCCATAATACAGTTTTTAAAAGAAACAAAATTTGGACGCTAACCGAAGCAATAAATCGGAAAAATACGAAGGATATCTTCCTTGGATAGATATTCCGCAATAAAAATCAAGATTTCATCTTGATAAAAATGAAAGGAAGGTACTGCTTCTATCCTGATAAAAATGAAAGGAAGGTATTGCTTCAAAACTGGTATCAGAGCCTTAGAGTTAAATCTTTGGCAGAAATTAAAACGGAAAATAAAGGTTAGAACACTTAAATGAGACTAACTATATACATGAAAGACATCTAGATCTTAGAACATATAAAATTTGCAATAGAAATAACAGATCTACCTTTAACTGAAATTGTTAAAGAATATTTTCTATTCATTATAGAAAAATATTAAATGGAATTAGCAGACAATCAGTTTGATTATATGACAAAAAGCGAGAATTCAGGCTACTTAGTCGAAGCCTTAATTGACGCAAAGAAACTTGGAAAAATCGATCATGATTTATCTAAAGAACATAACTTTTCTCAAGAAAAACTGTTAAAGAAAATTAACAATTTCTTCTTAAGAAAAAATGAAGCCTTCTATGGAATTATTGCAGGAGAAGAAGTAATAGAAACAGATCAAACTCAGGGAAACATTGTTATACCTGTAATTTGTAAAGAACAAATTTTCAGAACGTTAAAAACTCTGAAAACAGAAACAAGAAGCAAAATTGCTTATTTACATGTGTCAACTATACAGATGATACTAAAATCAACATTTAGTTTAGGAATAGATTCTCCTATGTCTATTAAACTTGAAGATAATAGAATGATTACTAAATCAGATGCACTAATTGCAGAAGGATTAGGAAATCTAAAATACGGTAAAATTAAGTTTAACTTAAATTACCAAGTCGGAATGTCCTTACTAGATAGTAACCTTGACGAATCCATTACATTATGTTGGAAGATGTTAAGAGACAAAATAATGAAAAGAGGTAACCATCCCTTTTCAGTAACATGACGAATAAACTACGCTTTGACTAACAGTCATCACAGTTTAAGTTTTAAGCCAAATGAAAAAATTGAAATAGATGAGTTATTCTCACCTATAATAAAACTAGAAGCACCAGTAAGAAATTTTAGAATTTCGGACGCGGGTTCTTTTAGAAAAAAGAAAGCGATTGGGTATGAAATACCAAAAAGCGTAAGAGAAAAAGAAAATACTGAAAGTACTTCTCAAACAATAATCTTGCCTGAAAACAGGAAGATAAATCAACTTGAATATCGAATTCAAGAAATTGGGAAAGAACTTGGACTTAAAATATAACAGGTTCTAATAAAACGTTAATAACGAATCTAATCTCGTTATATCATAATAAAAACGAAAAAACAATTGTTTTATCAAACAAGGGTATTTGTGGAATAAACAGAAAATATGTTAGTTGATGGGGTCAGGGAGTAATATGGAAGATGAAAAGAGGAATAGGGATTTTTAAAGAAGATGCCCATAAAATAATGAAATTACATATCACATTCCACCCAACTACTTCAATTCCTTATTTCCACCCCAACACTAGCATAAAATGCTACGTAAATCTACAACTGCCACGTAGCAAATTCTGATTGGCTTAATTACAAACGACGCGGATAGGTGCCAGCCCCTTTCTCACCGTCGATAACTTCAAATCCAACGCTCTGAATTTCATCCTCTTCCCCATTTTCCACCCCATCCTTTTAACTCTGCGAGTATTTAAACCTCCAACAGCCTTGCAATCAAACACAGTAAACATTAATTCCGTTCAAAAATCTCAACTTTTGATCCACCCCCAAATCTCTTTGCTCAGTTGCAGTCAAAGCTTTGCATAGCAGAAGAAAATGGAAACCGGAGGAGGAAAAGTGAAGAAGGGAGCCGGCGGGAGGAAGGGCGGCGGCCCGAAAAAGAAACCGGTTTCCCGCTCCGTGAAAGCCGGTCTCCAGTTTCCGGTCGGCAGGATCGGCCGGTACCTGAAGAAGGGGCGGTACTCGCAACGGGTGGGCACCGGCGCGCCGGTTTACATGGCTGCTGTCCTCGAGTACCTTGCCGCCGAGGTACTGTGATTTTTTGTTTTTATGTTTTTCTTCTGGTATATTTGCAGTCTAATTGTTTTCACTGTTTGCATTTGTATGATTGTATTGAATTTTTATGAGCTGTTGTTTTGAGTTGTGGAAATGTTTGTGTTTGGGCTTTTTTAGCTGAGATTTGGTGGGTACTTCTCTGTTGTATTGTTGTTTTTGCACTTTGTGGATTTGGGTTTTGTTGTTTTGATTTCTTTCTATGGAAATCTATCTACCATCAAGTTTGAATTGTTTTTTCTTGTATTATCATGTGTAAAATAAAAAAAAAAAAACTGTATTTATTTTTAAGGCGAAGCAAGCTTAGATGAACAATGGGCATATGATCTTCTTGGATTAAAATCTTATAAGTCTCTCTGAAATTGTGCTCAGGTTCTGGAATTGGCTGGAAATGCAGCAAGAGACAACAAGAAGAGCAGGATCATCCCAAGGCATGTGCTGCTTGCTGTTAGAAATGATGAGGAGCTTGGCAAGCTTCTAGCTGGGGTTACAATTGCTCATGGTGGAGTTATACCAAACATCAACCCAGTTCTTCTGCCCAAGAAATCCGACAAGGCAGCTGAGAAAACTCCTAAATCACCATCCAAGGCTGCTAAGTCCCCAAAGAAGGCTTAGAATTCTAGTGTTTTGTGGATAGTTGAAATTTAGAAATATGAGGATGTTGCTTAAGTAGTGTTTATGTAGTGTTAATTGGCGTGTTCTTGGAATGTAGGGTTGTTTAGCTTCTACTATGTGTTGTTTCTATTCTGAATGAGTTTGAATTCAATGAAAAGATCTTTATTTTTAATTCTCCATTATGCAGCTAGCAAATGATCTCTGAAAGTTTTTGAATTATAAGTTCTTTGGTTTATGCCTTTTCATTACACTTTAAGTTCTCACATCATGTAAATTCTTGAGTGGATCCTTATCGTACGACAGTGAAAGCTAAAGGCAGATCCTCAATGGAAATTTGATTGATCTAATGAACATGATATATTTGTTTTGTTATCCCCTTACATAGTTTTCCTTTAAGTTGAATGAAATTAAACAGTCATTATGTATCAAATACTTGGAACAACAAGTAGTAGAAGTTGATCCCATTTTGAATTCAGTTTGACTTGGTAACATTTGGATTTGAATATCAAATTTGTTCTAGTTAAAAGCCATTCCAAAATTGAACTTCTTATGCTTTTCTTTTTTCCCATAGAACTTCGTCATGGACTTCAGTGAATCCATTTTCATTTGAGAATTATGGAAACCGTATGTACAATTGTTTGATATTTGTAGCTGCTGTATATAATTGTTTGTGTTGATCCATTTACCGTCTAGGCCTCATTATCCAAGACTATGGTAGGAATTGTTTGTGTTGATATTTGTGTTTGTGTTGATATTTGTAGCTGCTGTATATAATTGTTTGTGTTGATCCATTTTCACTTGACTCCTCACATAACTAAACGACTCTTGTAAGATCCCTCCTATTGGTCAAAAGCCAAAGACTCGGATCGGCACTATTTCACTCGTGGCCGTCGATAGTATCGTAATCCAACGGCCCAAATCTCACGACATTTTTCATCACAACACAATCACTCTCTCTTAGTTAAAACCCACAGCATCAGCCCCTTTTGTTTCTCATCTCCTCAAATCCTCTGCAATTATCAGTTAATTTGTAGCAATCAGACGGAAAAAGGTGAAAAATGGACACCAGCGGGAAGGTGAAGAAGGGAGCCGGCGGCAGAAAGGGCGGTGGGCCGAAGAAGAAACCGGTTACCCGATCCGTGAAAGCTGGTCTGCAATTTCCGGTCGGTAGGATCGGCCGGTACCTGAAGAAGGGCCGGTACGCCCAGCGGGTGGGCAGTGGCGCGCCGGTTTACATGGCCGCCGTGCTGGAGTACCTTGCCGCTGAGGTGTGTCTTGGATTTTCAATTTGATGTGTTTAGTTAATTTCCTATAATCTTCAATTGACCTGTGTTGTTAGTGATTATTTTTACTCGATTATTTGGTTATTGTTATGTTTTTGCGCATTTTGGTGGATTAATTTGAGTGTGAGAAATGTTTGTCTATGGTATGGTTGTTCTGATTTTGGTGGGTTTTGCAAACTAATTACCATTTATGTCTTAAAATCTGTTGAGCATCATAAATCCCTAAATAACATTACCGATTTTGTTCGTTGGTGTGTATAATTCGTGCAAGTCGTAAATATGCTGAAGTTTTATTTTTTATTTATTGTAATTATTTGGGCATTTTTCCTTAGGTTTTGGAATTGGCTGGTAATGCTGCAAGAGACAACAAGAAGAATAGGATCAATCCAAGGCATGTTCTTCTTGCTGTGAGGAATGATGAGGAGCTCGGGAAGCTTCTTGCTGGTGTGACGATTGCACATGGTGGAGTTATTCCGAACATAAACCCGGTTCTTTTGCCCAAGAAATCCGAGAAAACAGCTGAGAAGGCACCTAAATCACTGGCTAAGGCCACCAAGTCTCCCAAGAAAGCTTAAGTTAGAGCTGTTTCTTGTTGAATGGTGGGATTGAATGACTGTTATTTTTCTTAGGGGCTGCTGTGTTATTCTGGATATGTTGGGTGGGTTGTGTTGTTTATAACTTGAGTAATTTGTATTTTTATCCTTGATGTCTCATGATTTGAATCTAATGGCAAGTTAGTTTCTCTCAGTGATATTGCTTCACTAATGGGATAATAAATCAAATTTCTTTTTAGTCCTCCTAGTAATGTAATTTACTGAAAACTTATGCCTAGCCTTTATCTGGTATATTGTGTGTGATGCAATTGTATTGTGCTGAAATTGTTCTTTCATGACTTTGGATGTGTTTAATGGCTGAATCAAACCAATTGATGTTGCAACTTGCAAGTGTGATATATTTGGATTATTCTGATCTAAATGGTTGCTAGTTTTGATGTGGAAACTGGAAAGCTTTCAATTTTCATACATTCACTTGACAGGACCAGGACCAAGGAATGTTGTAGGTTGGATTGTAAACATGCAATAAAGGCAAGAAAACAAGCACAATAAATAAGCCCAGGTAGCAACGAATTCAAGCATATTTGTTACCGTCGATTACGAGTAATAAACATAATCCATATCTAACGGTACAGACAAGTTACACATCATCGATCCCCCTCCAGTCCTATAAACGACTAAAAACTTCTCTATATATGCTAACGTGTATATATATGGATAATATTTTGTGTATTTTGTGTATTTTGAAAATTAGTTAGTTTCGATGCTTATTCTCTTGTAACTTATTCTAGGGGTTTATATATATATTTGGCCTTTGAGCCATCACAGATCATCCGATTGAGATGATTATTTTCCCAAATTCGTCTCGTCTCTTTCGTATCATGGCATCAGAGCCTGATTTTTTTTCTTTTCTCTATTCGTGAATTTTTCTCTTCTAATTTGATCGTCAATTTTTTCCAGTGTCAATTGCTGCTCAATTGCTCAATATTTTTTTTCGCCGAAGGAGTGCTGCTCAATTGATCCCAGGCTGCTCAATATAATTCAAGCAATTGCTCAATTGATTCATGCAGTATCATTCACGCAATTGATTGTGCAATTGTTCACAACAATATAACTGCTCAATTGATTCACGCAATCCGAATGGGTCATCTTGTCGCTACTTGCTTTGAGATTGTTGGATATCCAGAATGTTTTGGTTCCAGTGGTGGCCTCCATGGTGGAGCTCGCGGCGAGAGAGGTGCTCATGCGAATGCGGCGTTCTCCAGTGGTATCGGTGATTCGTTTGTTGCCGGTTCTGTTGGTTCTTCTACTGCTAGTGGAGTTTTGAGTGATTCTGATCGTCTTGCACTTGGCGGTTTAAGCGATGAACAATGGTCTCACTTTGTGTTCTTGGTTAATTCCGCTAAACAAAATAATCCCTTGTCTGGTACGCGTAGTTTATTTGATTGGATGTACGACTGTGGGACAACTCATCATATGACAGGGTTCCTAGAGTTTATTTCTGATATTCGGGATATTCCCGCTTGTCCTGTTCAATTGTCTAATGGTTCCTTGACTATGGCTAGTAAGGCTGGGACTGTTTATTTGGGATCTCATATCACTCTTTATGATGTTTTATACGTTCCCAGCCTTCGGTGCAGCTTGATATCGTTATATCAACTACTGGATCGTTCCGACTGCACCGCTCAGTTTACTAACAAATTCTGTGTTATTCAAGATCACATTTCGCGAAAGGTAATTGGCGCGGGTGAGCAGTTGGGGGGTCTGTACTTCTTTCGAGGGGCGGTTTCTACGGCAGTTTCTTATGTTCGGAAAGTTTCTGCAGATGTGTGGCATCAACGTTTGGGTCATCCTTCTGCTCAAGTATTGTCCCAGGTTCCTGTTATTGATTTTAGTTCTCGTAATTTGCATAAACCGTGTGATGCTTATTTTCGTGCTAAACAACATCGTCATAGTTTTCCTCTCAGTCAGACTGTTAGTCATAAGACTTTTCATTTGATTCATTGTGATTTGTGGAGTCCGTATCGTGTTCCATCCTTCTGTGGTGCACGACATTTTTTTACTATTGTGGATGATTATTCTCGTGGAACATGGGTTTATTTATTGAATGATAAGACGGAGGTTGCTTCCACATTACTGAATTTTTTTTCTATGATTAAGCGACAATTTGATAAATTGGTGCGTGTTGTTCATAGTGATAATAGAAGCGAGTTCATGTGTTTAGCCTCTTATTTTTGTCGTCAATGGATTTTGCATGAGACTTCTTGCGCAGGCACCCCTCAGCAGAATAGGTGTGTGAAACGCAAACATCAACATATTCTCAATGTAGCTCGTGCTTTGCGTTTCCAGGCTCATCTGCCTCTTCCTTTTTGGGGGCATTGTGTTTTGACTGCGGTCTATCGGATAAATCGGACTCCTTCCTCGGTTTTACATGGTAAAACCCCATATGAGATTCTTTATGGTTCGGCTCCTTCCTTGTCTCATTTGCGGGTTTTTGGTTGTTTTTGTTATATTCATAACCAAGATCGTAATGGTGACAAGTTTGCTGTTCGGAGTCGTCGTTGTCTATTTGTCGGTTACCCTTTTGGAAAAAAAGGGTGGAGTTTGTATGATTTGGATCGTCAGATTTTTTTTGTCTCTCGTGATGTAGATTTTCTTGAGACTGACTTCCCATATCAGTCAGACTCGTCCAAGCCAGATTCTTTGCCACCGCCGCTTATTGTGCCAGTTTCTTCTGCACTAAATGATGAGGAGGATATTCCTATTGTCTCTTTGCCTCATGTTTCTCAAGAAATTGGGTCTTTTGCTACTGATATGGACACATCTGACGACAGGGGGGTTCCGTTACTACTACCCCTCCCACTCTTCCAGTGGAGCCCTTGGGTCGTGGTCATCGGACTAAGGTTCCTTCAACTCGACTGAAGGATTTTGTGGTTGACACTGTCCGGTCTTCGATTGTACCCCCCACTACTTCTTCCTAGTCGTCTCCATTCTCCGGTATGCCTTATCCCATAGCACATTATGTTTCGTGTGATTCATTCTCTCCAGCTCATCGAGTATTTTTTGCTGTTGTCGCCTCCGCTGCTGAGCCTCGCACTTTTCTTGTGCCGTGACTGATCCTCGATGGCGAGCCGCTATGCAGAATGAGATTCATGCCTTGAAGAATAATGGCACGTGGGATGTAGTTTCTCTTCCATCTGGGAAGCATGCGATTGGGTGCAAATGGGTCTTTAAGATCAAGCATAAGTCTGACGGTTCTGTTGAGCGCTATAAAGCGCGTCTGGTGATTTTGGGCAATAATCAGGTGAAAGGTCTTGACTATCATGAGACGTTTGCTCCCGTCGCCAAAATGGTTACAGTCCAGTCATTCTTGGCTGTGGCTGCTGCTAAGAATTGGGAAGTTCATCAAATGAATGTTCACAATGCTTTTTGTTGACACCTGAGTTCGAGAGCCGAGCCAGAGACCCGGTCCAGTGCGTAGGTGCCGAGCTGGACTCTGAAACTTTTTGACCTTGACCCACCTGCGAGTCTATCCGTTAGCCCGGCGTTTGCAACACTTAAGTCCCGGTGCCGGTCTGATAAGTGACGACCTGAGGAAAGGCTCCCCAGAACCGGAGGAGCAAAAAGGAAACAGGAGCCGACCTGGGGTCACAGGACGGACCTCCAATGAGGAATGCCGATATCAATATTAGCATAATAATGCCACTTGGAGAGTAATCATTGGTGATTGGACGGGGCACCCTAGCCTGCTGACCTACCTCCCCTAGCCAAGACATAAAGCCTGCCAACATTAAATGATCCCCATGTATGCATTAAATGCCTGCCAGACAATGATGAGGAAAACCTCAAATCGCATTAAATTCTGTCAGGGAGGCGCCGAACTGCTCTCCAAGAACACTGTACGACAAGACTGGTAAACAGTGCCTGAACAGTGCCACATTTAAGGCAACTATAAATAGCAGCCCACTTCATTTAATTTGGGTTGTTGAATCCCAACTGTAAAAGCTCTCTCTACATTTTCTCTCTCTAGATTTGTAAGAAACTCGTGTAAGAATCTGTAAGTACATCGCAAGTGCCGACCTCGTACGAGAGGCCGACCTCGTGATCTCTTAATAAAATCGTAATTAAACCATATTTCTTTGTCTTTTTCTCATTATTCTTTTATTATTCATCTTTTTAACCGTTGACCGGAAACGTCCGTCAACACTTTTCTTTATGGTGATTTGGCTGAGGAGGTTTACATAAAGTTTCCCCCTGGTTTTCGCTCTGGCGTTGATGGGCAGGTTTGTCGTCTTCGTCGTTCCCTTTATGGCTTGAAGCAGGCTCCCCGCTGTTGGTTTGCCAAGTTGGCTATGGCTTTGAAGCAGTGTGGTTTCTGTCAGTCCTATCATAATTACTCTCTCTTTACACTGCATCATGGTTCTGTCCATCTGCAAGTCCTGGTCTATGTTGATGATCTGATTATTTCTGGGAATGATACCACATCCATTGCGGCCTTCAAGAGTTACTTGAGTCGTTGTTTCCAAATGAAGGATCTTGGGTTGCTTAAGTATTTTCTGGGTATCGAGGTTGCCTGGAATTCTTCTGGCTTCTTTCTCTGTCAGCGGAAGTATGCTCTTGACATCATAGCTGAGGTCGGACTACTAGGGAGCAAGCCAGTTGATTTTCCCATGGAGCAGAATCACCAACTTCCATTAGCCGAGGGTCCCTTATTCTCTGATCCTGAGAAGTATCGGCGTTTAGTAGGACGTTTGATATATTTGGCCGTTACTCGTCCTGACTTATCTTATACCGTGCACATGCTCTCACAGTTTATGCATCAGCCTCGTCAGACACATTGGGACGCTGCTCTTCGTGTGGTTCGCTATTTGAAGGGTACTCCGGGCCAAGGTATTCTTCTTCGGTCTGATTGTGACTTGCAGGTTTATGGTTTGTGTGATTCCGATTGGGCGACATGCCCTACTACCCGTCGGTCTCTCACTGGTTGGTTCGTACAACTTGGTCATTCTCCGATATCATGGCGTACTAAGAAGCAACACACGGTTGCTCGTTCTTCAGCCGAGGCTGAGTATCGTGCTATGGCGATGCTTACTTGTGAATTGAAGTGGTTACGGGGTTTGCTACGTAGTCTTGGTATGGCTCATCCTCAGCCGGTGCAGATTCATTGCGACAGTCAGGCAGCTCTTCACATTGCCGCTAATCCTGTCTTTCATGAGCGCACCAAACACATTGAGGTTGATTGTCACTTTCTTCGTGACGCTCTCGTTCAAGGCATCATTTCTGCTACTCATGTTTCTACTCATTCCCAGCTGGCAGATATTTTCACTAAGGCCTTGGGCAAGCGCGAGTTTGATTTCTTCTTTCGCAAGTTGGGCATCCGAAATCCGCATGCTCCAACTTGAGGGAGTGTTAACGTGTATATATATGGATAATATTTTGTGTATTTTGTGTATCTTGAAAATTAGTTAGTTTTGATACTTATTCTCTTGTAACTTATTCTAGGGGTTTATATATATATTTGGCCTTTGAGCCATCACATATCATTGGATTGAGATGATTATTTTTCCAAATTCGGCTCGTCCTCCTCAATTTTCCGATCCCCAAAAACTCAAACTAAATAAATAAATCAATTCAGCCTGCAACTTCCTTCAATCAATGGCCCCCAAGGCGGAGAAGAAGCCGGCCGAGAAGAAGCCGTCGACGGCGGCGGAAAAGAAGACCTCGAAGGACGGCGCCGGCGACGGGAAGCGGAAGAAGAAGGTGAAGAACAGACGTACAAGATCTACATATTCAAGGTCTTGAAGCAGGTTCACCCAGACATCGGGATCTCGAGCAAGGCCATGGGGATAATGAACAGCTTCATCAACGACATCTTCGAGAAGCTCGTCGTGGAGTCGTCGCGGCTGGCGCGTTACAACAAAAAGCCGACCATCACGTCGCGCGAGATCCAGACCGCCGTCAGGCTCGTCCTCCCCGGCGAGCTCGCCAAGCACGCCGTCTCAGAGAGCACCAAGGCAGTTACCAAATTCACGAGTTCTTAGGCTGATTTTTATATGATATTCTTATTATTATTTTCCATTTTAATGAGCTGTTGTTCATCTGAGGGATTGACAAGTTTTTATGTGTAGATCGTGTTTAGATTTGCGAAAGGGAATTTTATTTTTCTTTTAATGAAAATTGATTATTTGGTGAATGACGCTCACGTTGAAGCTTATTCGTAGACATTACCTAAATAGTCATACCTCCAAGTTAAATTCGGCTTAAGTTTGAGCAAATCTTTACTAAATTCGAGTTTTTTTTTTCTTTTTTTTTTCATATCAATATCACTATTAGAATTCAATGGAGACCACCTCTCTCAACATCACCCAAGAGCGGGGATAAAAAAGACAGGAGGCAATCCTTCCAAAAGAAAGGTCGTCCTGTTAACGACATAGCGCTACTAGCTATACAATGGGGCAACAGAATTCAAATTTCTACCAATATAACAACAAGACCCATCGTCTAAAAGAAACAAAAGCGATAAGATGTCCGCAAAAACATGATGCAAAGGATCGTTTGGCGACATATCTAACAAACCACAAACAACCGCAAGGGCGTCTGTCTTGACATATTGAATTGAGAAATCCGCATCAAGCGCAAATCGAAGGCCGAACCTGAGGGCTAGGGCTTCGGCTGTAACTGATGAGAAAGAGCTCGAAATATGAGATACAAAAGCAGCCCAACATACGCCTTTTCGAGTCGCCTATCCACCCGCCTAATCCGATTCTTGAATCATGGACCGTCGCATTGCAGAATAATGTGAGACCGTTATTGCATTTACCCGGTCTGTACCACCTATCGACTGATGGTTGATGCAATGAGCGAACTACCATGATTCGCCCCGACCGCACTATCTCGGCCTCTTCTCGCCATACCTTCGCAAATGTCCATGCTTGCTCCACCATTCTACCTTTCAAGCCATGATTAATGCGATTACGTTCATGCCAAATAATCCACAAAAAATGAGCAAATAATGGAAAATCATCCATACGATCACTTTTCAAGATCTCATAGAAGATAAATACAAAGCTCAATCCACGTAACTGAACGAGTGTATTCCACCAACCTACTAGTTTCCAAAACTTTTTAACCCAAAAATAATAAAAATGCAGGTTGATTATTGAGCATTTGCATAATATTATTGAGTCAGGATGAGCCAATTTCTAGCTCAAACACAAATAAAAATTAATAATTGAGCTTGATTAGATGAAGGTTTTGCTCGATTCAAGTTGTTTACAATGAATCCTTATGTGTGTGTTTGTATTTACGAAATACATGACACAAAGCGTTGAATTTTGCAGTTGAATTTTGCATTTCACCGATAACACCAAATCAGAACTTGTCCATTTACAAAATGCATAACACAATGCTACTGTTAGGCTATATAATCAGAACTTGTTCATTTACAAAATGCACAACACAATGCTACTGTTAGGCTATATTTATGATATGTTAAGAGTATATCTACCCAACCATTAGATTTCTAATGTGGTATTTATAACTAGTTTATAAATGATTTATTTATAGATTTATAATGTGGTATTTAAAAGATTTCAAAAAGTAAAAAATATGGAATTATGTAAATTAGCTTTTTCTGTACTCGCAATTAGAAGAACGAGATTAGTCATCAAGCGTTAATAGGCTCAATCCTGCTGACCGAAATGTATCAAAGCCCAGGACCAAATTTCTTAAGCAGTCCAATGAAGTCCAATACCAGCTCCAATTTCCAATTGAGAAGCCTTTATTAAAAAGAAATACAAAAATACAAAAAAATGAATTCTATTTCAACCGTCGATCCATTCAAAATAAAATTAAAAAATAAGATAATTACTGAATCCAACGGCTGAAAGTTTCAGCTGTACCTCCTCCATTTTTCCTCATTTATGAGATCCATTGTTTTTCTTTCTATTTCCTGCGATCTGGTAAACTATGCTAACTTTCTCTCTCTAAAAATGCCCATTATCTGTGTTTTTTCATGTTTTCAGTTTTGATATTTGCTATCATCACGCTTTGCATGTGGAATAATTGAGCTGCCATTGTTTGTTGGTAGGGTTTGTTGTTTAGGAATTCGTGCGAAACAGGTGAATCCGATTCAGATGGCCGCTCCACCCGCCAGAGCTCGAGCGGATTATGATTATCTCATCAAGCTTCTCTTGATCGGTGATAGCGGTTCGTTTTATGTCCCCTCGTGGTGCATCATTTTTTTTTTGTGATTTTTTTTTCTTTTTGTTTAGTTTTTGAGGCTTATTATGCGGTTTGATGTGAAATGTAGGTGTAAGTCTGTAAAATTTGTGTTTTTCTTCATCTCTCTTTGATGGGGAATGTTTGAATTTTAAATGTTGGGGATGAGATGCTTGAGATAGTTATTTTATGGGAATTTTATCTGAACGTAATCGAAATGATGTGTATTTATTGGTAATCTGGGAGAAATCAATATTGCTAATTGGTTTGGTGGGACATTGAGGTATGGTACACATTGTTCTGTATAAAATGCATGTGTTTTCATGAATTTTAATTTTACTTGTTTCGATTTACTAAACCCGGTAGAGTTCATTTTCTTTCCACGTTCGAGGATAACCCTTGGCTTTTGTTGGTTTTTCAAATCCAAGAGAGATTTGGTGAAAAAGTTGGCCAAGGAAAGTGTTATAATCATGAAAAGAAAACTTTATGTGCTATAAAGTTAGCGATAAGACACAAAACACTTGCTGACCGAGGCTATACTTTAAATGATTTGGAGCTGCAGCCTTATAATATTACCTATATTCCGTTTGTCCGAAATGTGTATACCTGCCTAATCAGGATTATCACCATTATAAACTGTTCCGTTTGTTGTTTTGCGTTAACTATCCCTCCTGCTCTGCTAACTTATGCAATTATGTCAGTTCTTCCATTTACCTTTTTACTCCACATTTTGTAAAAAAATTCTTTAGTATGTCTTTGGAACTGTCGGTCATGATTTTGATGGCTTTTCCAGGTGTGGGTAAGAGTTGCCTTCTTTTACGTTTTTCCGATGGTTCTTTCACCACCAGTTTTATTACTACCATTGGGTATGTCTCCTTCGCAGACTCGTTGCAGATTCGATATTTGATCTTCTCCTGGCTCCTGTTTATGGGTTCCTTTTTCTTATACAGGATTGATTTCAAGATAAGAACTATTGAGCTTGATGGGAAAAGAATCAAACTGCAAATATGGGATACTGCAGGACAGGAGCGATTCAGAACTATCACAACTGGTATGCATCTCAGAGCTGCAATATGTTCCTTTTCCCTTATAGAGTCGTTAAATGGTTTCATGTGCAACGTGTTACTTCAGTAAATGTATTATGGTGGTATACATCTGCAGAATTTATATGTTTCCAGTTAGGATGTGTAACAAGTGTCAGCAGAAGCATTTTTATTCTTCTTGATCAGTTTGTGTTTGTAGATGACTGCTAGATGATGTCAATGATGGAAAGTGAATAGAAGAATAGTGAAAGAAATTGGAATGTGAAACAATAATAGAACCTTAGGGACTTATGATATTTGTTCCGCTAACCTGCACTCCACAGGCAAATCTCCCCGAAATCCTTTTAATAAGCATTGGAAGAAGTGAAGTAACATGTTTCTTCACTTCTTTCAGATGTCAGCAAGTTTTCATAGTGTCTACCACACTTTCAATGATTTTCTGCAAGAAATAGGAAAATGATCGAATTTCATGTGGATTCTGGAGAGTTCCAGACAGAACATTCTCCAATACACGTGGTCCCTCACGTCTATTTATAAATATATTTTATTTTGTTTTCCCTCGGCGAACCTCACAGTGGAGTACTCCACATTCAAATTTATGGAAGCATTGTATTCATGCAAGTATGTCTTTTTTTTTTTCCTTAAAAAAATAAAAATTTAGCTCTATCTATTATACGACACAAAAGATATGCTGCTATCCTTGTTTTGCCCATCAAGCAACAGAAGCATTAGCCACATAGATCATCCAGTAGTCATTTATTTCGGCAACCCCTTCGGTTGGGATGAAGTCAAGACCTTTGTTTAATTACTTTTCTAACTGCATATGTTTGATTTTTAACATACCAGAGAAAAATATAAGTTGAGTTGTCAAGTACAATGTTGGATAAATTGGTCATCGAAATATTTTGGACGTGATGGTGATTGCTTATATAACGGAAGCTACAACATTTTCCTCAGAATTTATATGCTATAATACCGTTTACTTTCTGATGGTTCGTTCTCTGGTGTTCTGGCTAAACTTAAATGAACATCTTGTAAAGTTAGAAAAAAGCTAGATCTTATTTTCAGAAACCTAAAATTGCATGTGGAGCCATTTATAATATAGTAATCATTGAANGGAAGATATCTTTTTCATCTATCGGACTTTGTATATAACATTGAATTTTATTTCATGAAATGTTTATTAAGTGATGTTGATGAACAAAATAAGGGAAATTTTAAGGCTTATTGAACACTTGTGCCATGAATGACATCATAATTCTTAAATTTCTGTCAAAACACCATACTTTCTATTATGTTTTCAGTTTTCTAATATATTGCGGGGATTGGGATTGCCCAACTCTCTCTCTCTCTCTCTCTCCCTCCCTCTCTCTCTCTCATTTGCTTGTTTGGATGTCTTTTGCAGCGTACTACCGTGGAGCAATGGGTATATTGTTGGTTTATGATGTCACGGATGAGTCATCTTTTAACAGTAATTTCTCTTTCACTTGAGCCATTCTTCTCGCTTAACTTCTGTAGAGGTTAAATCTTCTCTTTATTGTTCTTTAACGTTTTCCTTACCTATCATGCGGCCTGTTTTATTGTGTAATAAATTCAACATCAATTGTTGTTTTTAATCAAAATTGACTTTATCTTCTCGTCAGACATCAGGAATTGGATCAGAAACATCGAACAACATGCTTCTGACAATGTCAACAAGATACTCGTGGGGAACAAAGCTGACATGGATGAAAGTAAAAGGGTATATGTTTTATTGTGTAATAATTTACCTCTCATATTGCTTCAGTTTTATCCACTTTAGTCTTTTAACACAAAATGAACTTCCAAGGCTGTTCCTACGTCGAAAGGTCAAGCACTTGCTGATGAATATGGAATCAAGTTTTTCGAGACTGTGAGCTTCATATATTGGATAATTTTATTTTCATCATCTCTATTAATTAAAAAAAGTATATATGTCGAAATGATGCGGTCTGATTATTATCATCATGTCAAACAGAGTGCTAAGACAAACATGAATGTGGAGGAGGTTTTTTTCTCAATTGCCAGGGATATCAAGCAAAGACTTGCTGAGACTGACTCCAAAACTGAGGTATCAAGTGATAATTATAAAAAGTGAAAAAACTATCACTGTTGAGGTTTAACTTCATCATTAACT